AAACAGAGCTTTCACTCAGAAAGCTTTGAGCTTTGTCTCTCCCTTTAATTTTTCTCCCCATCCTTGCAATATTCAGTCCTTCCCCCTCTCCTTTGCCTTCTGTGAGCTGCTGGTGGCAGTCCCAAAATGAGCTAGGCATCTCAGAATACTCTTCTTTAAATGACACTGCTCTACCAAGTCCCAAACTTTGCACTTGGGGATAAAAGGGCAGCAGTGACCCTAAGCGGGCAGTGCACACACACTGACAGAAGGGCATCTGCTCTTCAGGGCTGACAGAGGTCAAGATACTTGCCAAGTCTAGATTATTTCTACCTTCAGGACAGGACAAGACTAACATGAAAAAAATCCTGTTTTCTGCTAGTGTGGGCTTTTAGAAAGGTGTATCATGCTTGTCTTTGGCTATTTAAATAACACTGCTTCACTCTGTATAAACCAACTTACAACATGAATGAAAAAAAAGCTATGGATCGTGAAGCAAGTGGGAATGGATAATCAATTTTTATCACTAATATTGTGGGTATGACCAATAACTCTGAATGAGTTATGGAAGTCTTTGCTCTGAGCAGATGTGTCTCCTTTCAAAGCAGTCTCTTTCTGGCACAGCCGTAATAACAGAAAAAGTGTTGATTTAAACATATTAAAACTAAATAAACATGTATTTTGATTGTCCAATATATTTCTTCTTAAAATGTAGGAATATGAAATTCTCAGAGGTGGGCTGGCTGGGGGAGGGACAACAACAATGGATTACAAAAGCTTTCAGCTTTACAGACATGGGTTCAAATCAAGCTTAAGTAAGTGACAGGCAAAATGGGGCTATTGATTTCCTTCTAGTTCCATTTGGCTACAGCAAAAAACTGGGCACAACAGTGTCTTAACACTGAAAGGGATGGCATCAGCCAAAAGATAAAGCTTCTGCGGGAGAACATTTGTGGTGTTATTTGTAGCAATTGAGATTACTGGACCAGCAGAGATTACTAGAGCTGAAAGACATCAGAGAGGAAACTCACATCCCCCCCATTTTGGGAGGTGTGCTTGCTTCCTAAGTTTGGCTGTGCTTTCTGGCAACCTTGTGTCCAAAGCCCCCTGCCAGTTACATGGTGGAGCAGACATGATCCATGTGCGCAGGTCAGGCTGGGAACCATGTTTTCCTTGCAACAGGCCTGTCAAAGAAAAAGATTCACACTGAGTCAAAAATCCTCTGCTGGTCAGGAGCCAACCTGCCAGGCAAGTGATAAGGTCTGCTGATTTTGTTTCCTACCCATGCACTCACGCTGCAAGAAAGCCCCAACAGGTCCTTGAAGCAAATGCGGTGGCCGAGGCTGTGTCTTCTTGCAGGTGACAACACACAAGGAGCCAGACCTTGCCTTGACTGAGAGGAGTCACGAGCACAGCTGTAGCTGGGCTGGACTCACAGCTCCATCAGGACCCTGCACCATCAGGCCTTAGGGATCCTTCTTCATCCTGCCCAGCAGGCACCACCAGGACCTGGTCTTTAAACATTTTGATGCTCTTAGGGTGTGTAAGTCAGGTCCAAGGGGCCCAGGAATGAGCACAGGAAGCTCTGTGTAAAGCCTGGTCTGCACTCTGGCTGATTAACACCTGAATGTCTGGCCCAAGGTGACTGACTCAGGACCATTGAAAGAGCCAGGGCTAAAATGCAGGAGTTTCTTGTTCCTATATTGCTCTTCTACCTTTCTGAATTAGGTGCACCTCTCCTGCTGCTATTTAAAGACACAGCAAGGCTCAGTTGAAGGTAATGTGGCTGCCCTCTCCATTTCCTTACATCAGGGGATTTGTGTCAGAAGTTCAGCATTGCCAAATGTCATTTTGAATGATTTTGTAGTTCTAGGTCAATAAATGCTTACCATCATAGGGGAACTGAACCATTAATTACTCCAGTGGCTACAGTGCATCTTTTTTTTAGCCACGTACATAGAATGTCCAGTTCAGGGTGATTCTCAATAGCCCTACATTTTCTGATTCACATTTTAAATTAAATACAATTTTCTTGCTTTTGTTTCTAAATGAGCATTCTCTGTCATTATATCTCAAGGGCCACCAAGACAAGAACATCTCAAGACCTCATGACTGCAAAGCTCCACTCTTGCTGCAGAGAAGAAAATATCACAGAATAGCGCAATAGAAGGGCAGAGAGCAAGAACATTCTCTCCATGCTTTTTTTGCTGTTGTTGTTAAATTAAAGGAACAAACATCATATTAATTCAAAGTCTTTTTGTAGTGACCTCTGTTCAACATTATCTGAAGATTATGTTCATTTCTTACTTAGTGAGGCTCCACTTCAGAGGAGGAATGGAGTGAAAACCCCTCCCAACCCAGGGAGAGCCAGGATGAGAATAAAATATTTGCTGGTGATCCTATCTCCAGTGTAGTAGGGAGCAGTAGTATGTGGTATGCACCTTCCCACACATGTAACAAGGGTGGATTCACAATCTTCTGAAAATTATTTAAAACACATCAATATTATGTTTTATACTCATATATTGTTTCCTTGAAGCAGTAGAAGACAAATGCCCAGTGATGGCAGAGATCCCTTTTGGTGCCTCAGACTGCTGAACACTGTATGTTTCCCCTCTCAACCCTCCATTTCCTCCAGTTTGAGGCAAGGAACACAGTTTATAATTTTTTTGACTTTCCTAGGTGCAAGCCAGGCACAAGGGCTATGATTTACTGTCCAGAGGTGCCCTTTCTCTTGGAAGCTGAGGAGCAGCCAGCTTTTGTTGGGAATCCTGCTCAGCCCTTCACCCCACAGCAGGGATGGGAAGCGTGGCAGCTCCTCTGCCCATTCCCATTCCTTCCTGCAGGCACCACGTTATATATCCCTCACAAGCCTGACCACAGCTTTCAGAAACATCCAATAAATCAACAGTTAAAAGGGAAGAGTAGACATGGGGAGCAGGTGCTTATTATGTGTGCATCTCTGGAGAAGAATAACCCACAGTGTATTTCCATGCCCATTTGAAATGGAATACGACCATGACCCTGCAAGTGGCTCTGCTTGAATTGTTCCTGGCATGATGCTTTACTCCTAATATTTTCATTGTCTGCCTCCATCAGTTTTACCTCCCACTGTAGCATTAATTTTGTATGTGAATATGGAGGCTGTGCTTTAAATAATACAGCATATGCTTTTTATTTGCCATGTAGAATAATATTTTTTGGCTGATTTATGTTCCACCTGGACAAAATTATTTTTTATGAAGGGTTTATTTCATTTGTTCCCACATCCCCAAATAGAGGGGGGAGGGGGAGGGAAGGAAGAGAAGTCTTGTAAACCACCAATAATGATGGACACAAAAATCTGCTTTGAAATACAAATTTACTGCAAAAACAGATTCTCTCTAGCCATGTAAATGAAAAAAATACTGTTGTAATAATTTTAAGGCTGCAAATGCACGTAACTACTGGAGAGAGTAACCTTCAGTCTCTTGTGTCATCCCTTACACAATGCTGGGAGTATGGAGAAATTTACTGACAGCTATAAGCTATTCCAGTAGAACAAAATTACACATATGGCCACAGCATGGATTTAATTTAGCTCTTTTTAGAACTTCATCAAAGCCAGGACAAAACCCTGTGGTCTTTTGGTTTAGAGATTTGCCCCAGAACTTCATAGTTTATATACCTTATTTCCAGTTTTCACAAGGACTGTGGAAAAATATGTTACTTGCCATTGAAACAAATTTGTTTCAAGCAGATAATCTGAGTCTCAATTAAAAAATAATATATGATGCACCTTGTGTTTTACGACCCTGAACAACTGGCAGTATTTTTATGTTAATCTATCACCTACATAAATATGCACTATAAATAGATATATATTTTCTTAAAAAAAAAAAAAAAAAAAAAAAAAAAAATTTACATGCAGTCCTTAGCACAACTTTGTTCTGATTTTGACTTCCAGCTTTTGGTGCTTTTTGTAGAGTAACTAAATATTAATCCTACAAATTCATAATAGTCATAGCATCCGGGAAGCTCTGGCACTATTTTTGGTTCTAATAGTCCTCTTTAGCCACACAGCATCCTCCAGCCAAAACCACACTATAATAGGAGTGCTTATAATAAGGACACATAACGCCTCCATGTCAGCTCTGAACTACAGAGCCAGGAAAAGTAGGATATTCTTTCAGAGCAGCTTCTCTCTTAATACTGAATGCAAGATGAAGAGATAGGACTTTCACAGGGAAATACTGCTGCTTCTAGTCCCACCCTCTAAGTCCCCATCAGACGGCAGAAATCCAATCTGGTGTCTTCCCCTCGGCATTTTCTGGCAGCAAGCAGATTTGTTCCTAGGCAGGCCCGCTCCTTCCCACACAGAGCTCTCCTCCAGCCCCTCATCCTGCCATGTCCCCAATTCTGGCTCCACCAGAAAGCTTCAGTGACAGTGGCCACCTTTGTTCTGCTTCTTCTCGTGAAGAATCCGCGCAGCAAGCGAGATGCTGGAAATCAGTGACTTCTTTACAACGAGGAATTACCATTTATAGGACTGCAAGAACGCGTATTGTATTTGTTTCACCACCTGGACAGCTGCGGGCCTTTCAAACAAAAGCAGAGCTGCCGTTTTTCCTCCGGCCCGGCGGGATGGAGGGGCAGCTCCCGCGGGAGCGGGCGGGAAGGGCGGCAATCCCAGGGAAGTGCAGTAGATGGAGCCGGAGAGGCGCGGCAGAGCCCGGGCGTCACCTGAGGATACCTGCGAGATCTCCCCCTCAGCTACAGCGGGTTGGAAAATGTGCAATTTAGATTTATCAGTTCAGGAGGGAGATTCAGATAAAAACAGTTGAGCTGCTGAGATTATTAAATGCAGAGCCCCATGCTGAGACGATGCTCGCCTGATGAAGGGGAAATAGGGCACCGGCACCCGCTCAGCTGCACCCAGGCAGTCACACGGGAGCGAGGTGATGGAAGGAAGGGAACCCCAGGGACAGAGACCTTCCTCCACCCAGGAACATCTTCTGGGACCTTGAGATGGCACCCCTAGGATGCCGCAGGAATGGCGCGGGTTTGGGTCAGAGCGGGAAGCAGATGGGTATTTCCTGCTGTCAGCCCCGGTGTATCAGCCCGGTAATGTCACAGAAAGGTGGTCTCGTGTATTTAATTTTATCAGGCGGAAGAACTCTGATATATGCTGCGCTCAGTTCAGCACTCCCGTGCAGATTTGCTCGGCACTTTAGCATGCGTGCTGCCTCGCTGACAGAGATTAAAGGCTCTCCTCAGAGCCCCAGGTATTACGCTCAAACGTATAAATCAGGGCTTAATATATAATATTTGTCCATAAAAATATATCACAGTGGCATTCGTTTGACTATCTGCATATTAAATACCATTACAGAAAAGTCCTGAGCTTATTGAGGATTACTTTGCTACACCAGTAAAGTCTCCTGCCATCCTAAACAGGTTTCTTCCTGCCAGAGCATGGCTGACAGGCAAAGAGGAAGGGGCAGATGTTGCTATCACTGTTCATGACCCCAGGCATGCCCCAGCCACGCAGAGCTGTGCCAGGAGCACACTCCCAGGCAATCCCTGGTCTCTGGATCGCCGGCACTGGCCAGGCAGGGCAGGGATCACAGTGGAGATGACACCGCAAACCTCCAAAGGAGAAAATTGCATGATGTATCACCACTCACGAGCACCCGCCAGAGAGCTGTTTAGAGTGAGATTACAGTCTCAGAGGAGACTCTCATGCCTCTTGGTCACAGGGTTACTAAGATGATGCAGTTGCAACTTGTATGCAGGAGGTAGGAGGGATTTAAGCGATGGCCAGAAAGAAAAGCTGGATCAAACCTCCACAAACCATGCTCAGATTAACCCAGATTCCTGAGTCCCCAGCTCTGAGGGACTTGAAATCAGCCAAATTGGATCCTTTCCCTTGAACAGAAGACAAAAACGGTGAGGGAGAGGATAAAAGTTTATACTTGGGCCACAAGTTTATGAGCAGCATTTTAGAATGAACAGAAACAAAGCTCCCCAAAATAGGAGTTTGTGCAGTACAGAGGTCTCAATCCTGCTCATGCCAGTTCCATATTAGCACAGCTATACGGATTTCTCTGCATTTGCTGCTGACTTACAGAGACACAAGGGAGAAAAAATCAGACCCAGTTGCAATCTTTTCCCCTTCATCCTCTTCATATTCAAGCTCTTTTTTTTTTTTCTTCTAAATTCCTATTATTAACACAGGAGGGAAAAAAAAAAAAAAAAAAAAGAATCCCTGGGATCCCTGGTGCATCCTTGGAGTGGCTGCAGCCTCATCATGGATGACTAGACAACCGCCACTGTGCCACATAATGAGGAGCACACATGCTGCACTGGGAGATACTAATGAGGGAGCTACAGCCCCCTTAGCCCTCTCCAGTAAATCCGTGTCTGCAAGCCATGTTTTATTTATCAGGCTTATTATGGCAGCACTAAGGAGCCATTTGAAAAGGGCTGCTGCTGTCCTGGGCACTGCACACTGCAGTGCCTGCTCAGACCAGCTTCCAGGGAAGATGAATGGGGCTGGCAAGAGATAGGGGAGAGGGATGCTATGCACACGCCGTGCAAACAGCCTGTGGCAGCATTTATCCCACCGGCTCCTTTAAGGAGGAAGAGGATTCAGCCTGTTTTGACCTCACAGCACTAGCTAGATGATCCCAGGCCCTGAAAATACAGGGTAACTGGCAAACAGACTGAAGCTGTGCATGTAATGATTTCCAGGAAAGCTGAGGAAGCAAGGATTTGACAGACCTGGAGAGACCCGGGTGCAAACTGAAGCCAGGCAACTCAGAGGGGCTCCACAGGAGCTCAGCTGCCTGAGACAGCTGCCTACCTGCCCAGCACTGCTCCCTGATCCCACTGCCAGCAGATCTCCTGCTGGATCCCACACTTTTCACCAGGCACTGCTGCTCTGTGCCAGGATGTGAGAATGCAGAGCTCTCGTGGTGTTCCTGGCAGTGTGTGGTCTCATGCAGATCTGTGTGTGTGCCAGAGGGAAAGGGGATTTACCATCACCGCTGCCTCCTCCAAACATCCTCCTGACGCCGCTGCACATCCTCAAGGAGGCTTCTGTGCACTTGGGAGAATCACTCCACTTGCAGAGGATCAACAGAGAGAGGAGTAAAAGGCAGCTAAGTTAAAGGCAGGAGAGAGATGAGTAAATCTTTGCAAAACTTACACTACAGGTCTCAGCAGGGCTCAGACAAATTGGTCTGCATTCCTTTAATATATTAGATTTCTACTTACCCTGTTCATTAGCATGTTAAGCTACAAGGGCTGATTATATGAACCTCATGGAGAGGCATCAATTAAGATGATAAATTTACATACATTCCTTCTGGATGAGAAATGACGGGTTTCCCCGGTTCAGTGTTTGGTACAACTGGACTCGCTTCCAGAAAGAGAAAGTGTTAAATGAGTGCATCTGTACTGCTCCCCGAAATGATGGGAGCAGTTCACAAGTTTGAGCAAAAATGTATGTCAAATAGGAATAGAAGGAAACAACTCGCAGTTTCCAAGGCTGAACTCTAATCTGCCATGTCACATTGACAACAGATTATGAGAGGAAGTGAAATTCCCAAGAGATGTTGCCCTTACAAGGCTGGCCCAAATGGCGCTCCCAGCCTGAAGAATGCAACATTAAATATTTGCACATATTTATCACTTCTTGCCCGCACAAGATCTCATCTTATTTTGCAAACACTCTGCAGCAGAACAACTTCATAGCCACCAAAGTGTAGCCATTTCTGGTCTGCAGCGTGCCAGTGGCACCTCTTCTGTGCCAGCACGTGTCTTGGGAAAACTGTGAACAAAGACGGTTTGTCATCCTGTTGCCACTGAACAGAGAAATTAGATAGGCCTTGCAAATGGTATGAAAACCCACTCGAGCTGACAGAATCATCTGTCTTTACTTGAAAAACATTGCACAGCTGCTAATGCTGCCAGAGGAGACAGGCCAGTAGCAGTTCTGCTCCTATAGCCAACCTTTGTAGCACGAACCTCAGTGTTCCTGGGGCTAAGGACTGGTTTGCAGCTAAGTCAAACAGTTAATGCCATTAATAGCTCAGAAACAGGCACAGCTACATAGTAACAGCTATAGCTCATCCCTGATCTTCTTCAGGAAGAAGAAAGGAAGAAGGTCTTTGTCCACAAAGGGCTGAACCCCACGAGCCCTCGTTGATTTCAGGGAAAATGAAAGGTTTTTAGCTAATATAGTAACTTTTATGTGACTCCTGCTTTCCTAGTGGAACCAAGTTTATTTGGGCAGAAAGGTGTTTTCACTCACACTGCTGGGCTTGTACGTCAGGAGTGCTCCACCCAGCTGAGGTGCTGGATAAAGACTGCTGTTGCATGTTGCCTCATGCAGGACTGTGCTGGGCAAAGGTGCACATTTACACTTTCTTGAACTGCCAGATAGCAAACATGCAAACTTCCTCATTGCTCGGGACACGATAAGGGGTTCCATCTGATTCCCTTCCAGGGCCTGCATGGCCACGATAACCAGATCATTCTGAAGAGGACACATTTCAAACAAATGCCACTTGCATACAGGTATTTTTTCCCTAAATGGGGTCATCTTTTCCTCAAGAGGAGTGGAAAAAGTGCCATTTCTTTTCCTCTCATGTGCACATGACAATTACATACCACTGGAGTAAGGAATATGTGCTCCTTTATTTTGTTTGAACCAAAGAGCAATCAAACCTACCCAGGCTTGTGTTCATGATGCACATTATATGTACCAGGGACATTTATGTCACATATCAAAATCGATCAGAACATAAGGGAAAAAAAACCCAAATTTCCTTATGCTGTTAAGTTTGGCTTGACTATGATCTGTCTCAGCCTAACGGGTAAGACACATGCCTTACTAAAATAAGGAAACATTTACAGCTGAAAGCAGAATGTGTGGCTATACCTCTTGGGAAACAAATTTCCTGCTCAAGCCCTAATTTGTATAATACCATCACACTGAAGACTCACTTCCCCCCTTTGCAGGTCCAAGCTGGGTTGTTTCTGCCAACTCTTCTTCCTCCCCAGCCAGTATGTTGTAAGCCCAGGTAAACACTTCAGTTTTAATTTGTTCAAGTGTTTAATTGTTTTAATTTGGAAAGATGGACAATAAACCAATTCCCCTCATTTCCAAAGATTTACTGCTTTTTCCAATTTATTGAACATTCAGTGCAGGCTGTATTTCAATTAAAGGCAGCAAAACTGTTAATGGTCTATTAACGACACACTGCATCTACATAAAGATGCAAATATAAGTCGCGGCAAATTTTCTGGCCCGGTGAGATAATTCCTTCTCTTCCCCATAGTGAATTATCAGCGAACAACTCATAATTTTATACCAGCCCGTATCTCTGACTACTGCTCAACCGCAAGCATCTGCAGCGCACGAGCTGCCCGCGGTCCAATCCCGGGTTTGTCACCCAGGGGAGCGGTCTCCTGCCTTGGGGCCGGGACCACAGAGGCTGTGGGGAGCAGGGCGGGCAGCCGCAGGGTGCCGGGCCCCTCAGGCCGGGCAGCTCGTACGCGGATCCCGGCGGCGCGGCAGGCGCTGGCGGGAGGGGACGGGAAGGCGGGCTGGGGGAGGGAGGAGGGAGAGAGAGGGAGAGCAGCCTCTAACCCTGGCGCCTCCGCCACCGCCTCCCAGCAGGACTCTGATCGCGAGCAGCCGCCGAGCGCAGCCCGCGACGGAGGGCGGCCGGTGCCGCTAGCGCGGAGGCCCCCCCCACCCCCCAGCCCGCGCCGCTCCGCCCCACGTGACCCGCGGCGGGGCTCGCGGCCCACCCGCCTGTTACCATGGCGGGGGCGTGGGGGGGGCGCTCTTGTTTCCGATTGGCTGCTACCGGAGCTCGCTGATTGGCGGGAGGAGGACGGCGGCGCGCCGATTGGCTGGGCCCGGAGGTGAGGCTGTGGGGTGATGCCGGCCGCCCCGCGCAGCGCCGGGACACAGACAAAGGCTGCCCAAAGGCTGTCCGGAGGCTGCCCGGGCTCCCCCCGCGCCCCCGGGCTGGCGCGACGCGGGATGGCCGCGGGGGAGCCGCGGCTCTTGGCGCGCTGCTGGGAGGTGGCAACGCGAGCCCGGCCGGGCGCCCACAGACCCCGCGCCCTCCCCGCCCCGCCGCCCGCTCCAACTGGCGCTGGGGCACGCGGCGCGCGGAGGGGCGGAGCCGATGTCACGCTCGCCGCGCGCCCGGCAGCCAATGGGCGGGCCGGGAGAACGCGGGCAGCACGCGGGGCCCGCGTGTCCCGCGGCACGGGCTGTCAATCACCCGCCAGTCTGTCACTCGCCCCGCCCCGCCCGCCGCTCCCCCGCCCGGCGCTGTGAGAGCGGGCCCGCAGCGCCGCTCGGTCACGGTGCCCCTCACCGCCGCCCGTGCCCGGGCCGGCACCGGCGCCGGGGAGCGTTCTGCGGCCGCCGCTGCCTTGTCCCAGGCTTGGGGTGCGAGGGAGTCGCCGCCGCACTGGAACGGCTCCCCTGCGGCCTCAGCCCCGCAGTTTCTGCCGCCAGCCCCGAGCCCGCGCGGCCCGGCCCCCTCGGGATGCCCGCGGTGCGGGCTGCGCTCCCGGCGCCCTCCCCCGGTGGGGGGAGAGAGGCGGAGCCGGCGTGGCCGCCGCCCGCCGCCTTTATCTGGCGTGGCGGCGCGGGGGGTGGCACTGGGGAACACCTTGTTGTAAGATACGCGCTATAAATACGGCGCCGGGGATGGGAGTGCGGCCACGGGCGGCGGGGAACAGCTTCGAGCTACGGTGGGTGCCTTCCCCGCGGCACGGCGGCAAGGGACCGCTTGAATTTTAATTACCGGCGCGGTGCGGGGCTGCCATCCACTCGGCCGACCCCCACACCCGGTTCCCGGGAGGAGGTGTGGGGGAAGTTCTGCGTTTTGGCTAGTTTTGTGCGGAGGGGAGCGGCGGCAGCGAGCCCCGGCAGCTGCAGCAGGGCAGGCGGAGCAGCGGAGGGTGAGAGAAGGGACGGGGAGGGGAAGGCTGGAGGAAGGACACGGGGCTGCGGATAAAGGCGGCGGGGGAGGAGAAGGCGCTGGCGGGAGGGGACGGGAAGGCGGGCTGGGGGGGGGGGGGTGCCGCTAGCGCGGAGGAGGAGGAGGAGGAGGAAGAGGTCGCCGCCGGAGGAGCCCCGCGGTCCGGTCCGAGCCGCGTCGCTGAGCACGTCTGCCCGGCCGCCAGCATGATGCAGATCTGCGACTCGTACAGCCAGAAGTACTCCCTCTTCAACGCCATGAACCGCTTCATCGGCGCCGTCAACAACATGGACCAGACGGTGATGGTGCCGAGCCTGCTGCGCGACGTGCCGCTGCTGCTGGAGGAGCTGGACGCGGCGGGCGCCGTGTGCCCGCCCCGGGATGCTGCCCTGCCGCCCGGCGACCCCGGCGCCTACTTCTCCCGCAGGGACATGTACAGCCACTACATGCTGCTCAAGTCCATCCGCAACGACATCGAGTGGGGCGTGGTGCAGCCGCCGGCGGGCGAGGAGGCCGCCCGCAAGAAGGACAAGCTGGGCGGCGGGCCCGCCGAGGAGGGCGAGGGGGAGGAGGACCTGGAGCAGCAGTTCCATTACCACCTCAGCGGACTCCACTCGGTCCTCTCCAAGCTCACCCGCAAGGCCAACGTCCTCACCAACAGATACAAGCAGGAGATCGGCGTCAGCAGCTGGGGGCAGTGAGCGCCGGGGGGAGCGGGGAAGGGGCTCCGACCCGGCGGGAGCGGCGCGTCCCCGCCCGGCGCCGCCGCTGCTGCGGTGGCCGAGGGCAGCGCCCCGGGCCGGGCTTCCCTGCGCGCTCCCGAGACTGCAGCAGGTTTTCTACCAACGCACAAGAGAGAGAAAGAAATGTAAATTAATCAATACTAGTTTATTAATTATTTTGACCCCCTCCGTGTTTTTTTCGTTGTACGGTCCGGGGCGAGCAGTCGCTGTGCCCGCCCCGGCAGGGAGGCTGAGCCCGTGTGGGTACGAGGTGGTGGCATTGCTGGCTGATAAGGAGGCTCCACTCAAGCCGATGAACATAACGAAACTGGCACAAAATTGCTTCTGTCACCTCGGAGGGAACCCAGTGAGCTAAGGAACATCCCTCTGTTGTGGGAGAGATGGCGGGTCCCATGGTTGTACATGTACTGGAGTTTATTTAAAACTTTTTTACTCAGATGTAGAGTATATTCTAAAATAAATGCAAATGTATTAACTAAGAGTGACCTAAACTTTTGGTATGATTTATCTTTCTTTAATTAAATGATATTTTTAACATCTGGAATTCTTCTGTTTTTCTTCTATGTTACATTCAGTGTTGCCTTACTAGATACCGAAATCTGTTTGTGCAAGAGAGGGGGTTTTGTGGCTTTGCTTTTTTTTCCATCAAAGCAATTAGGCAGTGATGGTAACTTGGCATATCTAAAATGTTTGAATCACCATATTAAACTTAACCATACATGGCCTGAATTTTAGTAAGCTGTTCTGAGCTGCACAGTGCAGTTGCTCTGTGTGAGTGTTGGCTTGAAGGTCGTGCCTCTTTAACAAAATCTGAGAAGATCGAGTCATGGTTACTCTGCAGGCAGCGATTCATGGAAGTTGGAGCAAAGCCTAGGAATGACTCTTGCTTTTTTCGGGAAGTATCTTAATGTACTGTGGGGAGCTCTTTTCTGTCCCTCAGAATAGATCTGGCAGACTTGCCTCCCAGGTCTCCTGCATTTCTTTCCTCTAATCCTCCTTAGATACCAGGAGTTAATCGGTTTTATGTTATCCAGATTGTATTGATTTTTTTCTCTCTACTTTTTTCCATTTTGTGAGGTAAAGTACCTCAGAATTGGGTGTCTATATTGTGTTCGAACATTAAGTTCAGATATTAAAGCGCACTTGCTGGTTGTGATACAATATATAACAGAATAAATGTTTGATAAATATGTAAGTCCTTACATCATGTAAGTTTTCTTCTCAGGCACTGAAATGCCAAGTTTGTAGGCATACTGAGATTTCACTTTGTATTACTGGCATCAAATTTAGAGCTTGTTTGGTGGTGTTGGTTTGGAGTTTTTCTTCTTCTAAAAATAGAAGAATTTTTCTCTCAACTTTAAGGATATTTTTGTTTGAATTCAGATATTCCTTAGCACTTTATTTTTCAGCCCAACTGTTAGGACGTTGTAAAGCATGAGCACTCCAGACATGGTACTAGTTGGCAGATGTTTGTGTAAATTAAAACACTCGGCCTAAATCTATGTTTAAAAATATATATTTTGGAAGGATTTTCCCTTCTGGGGTAAAGAACAGCTTTGTAAGGCTGGATGATTTTTACTTTGGTGATGCTTGTTCTTTTTGTAATGTTTTTAACTCCTCTTCCCCTCCCCTCTTGGGAAGATGCCAGGAAAAAAGTCAGGAACAAGGCGAGGGATTACCCTGGTTTCCTAACATGTCAGCTTGCCAGTCTTTCTGCAGTCAAACTAATGCAGTGTGAAAGGTGCAGTGCCCTGTGCTGGATGCTGAAGTTCTGTTCTGAAGACAAGGCTGAGAGGGAGAACCTGTTCTGCCCGTGTGTCTCCCTTCTGGCCCTGCACTCCATCGGCTGGAAACCACAGGCGAAACCTCAGACAAAAGCAGCTCACACAGTTTCACCCGTGTGCCTTTTGATCTCCCAGGAACTTCTCCTGGTATGGGTTTAGACAATACTGTTTAAATGTTGCACAAGAGACAATGTGCTGCTGATTTAGACTATGAGTAATGTCAGAAAAATAGTGTTACATTAGCGCAGCACAGCCATGATTATGGACTCATTCCCTTTGCATCCTAAAGAAGAAGCACAGGAGAAAAGTTTCGGTGGAAGAGCAGCTGAAATCTTGTGCTATGGGGCAGCAAAAGTAGCATTTCCTTACTGGTAAAACTTGGGGTGACAGGGGGAGGAGGAGGATTCTGTGACTCAAGGATTTGCCTTGCCTCTGTCTGTGACTAAGCTGCAGTTGCTGAACTGCACGTGGCTCCCACGCGGGGCCCAGGCGCTGGGCTGGCAGCAGCCCTGATCATCCCAACTCAGCCGTGCAAAACCTGCTGAGAGTCACACCAGCTAGACACTCCTGCCACCTCCCACCTGGGAGCTGCTGTAGAGTTTCCCCTTCTCAAGGTCATGGGAGAGGATTGAGGCTCTTGGGATCAAGAAAGTGATATCTTAATGCAGGGGGAAGACAGCAGGAGATAAAACCAGGGATGACTTTGCTGCTGGCTGTTGTGTAAAACAACTTGGCCTAAAAAGTAGGGTGGTCAGGCAATTATGTAAATGCTGACTCCTGGCATTGCAGTAGGCAAAGATGAGATTGCAGAGTGTTAATGCAGATTTTGTGTGTTAGGTGCTGAATTGGGGAAAATTTCCATCAGCAGCACTATATAAAACAATTAGGTTTATTATTAAGGAGTTAAGTTTTCTCTTGAAGGACTGGATCACTTTGTCTCCCTATAGTCCTAAGTCTCTCTAAGTCTCTATAATTGTATACAGAGTTCAGCAAACCTTTAGGCTGCTCTGATAAAGTGATTCTTGTACTTGGGTTAATGACAAATGACATCAGTCTAATGTAAAAAGTATCTTTATGATCTCAAATACTTTGGGAAGTGACTTAATTTCTTAGCCACACGCAGTCAAAAAGACAACTTGCCAAACTACCCCAGCCATGCTCAAAACGGGATATGCACTGTGAGAAGCAGTTGTCATTTTTAGCTCACTTAAGTGAAATAGACTCCACATAGAGTAAGGCAGACATTAGAAGAGCAGTAAATAATGAGATTCAGAGCTGTTTGCACTAACAAATTGATTACAGCAGAAGTTATCTTACAGCCAAGGAGCCTCAAGGACATTGCTCATGGCATGCATCGGTTTATATATAAAAGTGCAGTATCTGTCATTGTAGCTCATGAGTCAACTCTTGTTTTTGTGTATACAAAAGAAGGACAAATGAGGGGAAAGCCATGCTTTTCTCTCTCTCTCTTTCTCTCCATAAAAATAAAGGGGAGGGTGTGAGTTCCATGGGAAGAACAAGAATCATGAGCTGGTCAGTGCTTGGTGGAAGCAGATCAAGCTGAGTCAGGCTAGGCTGTCACCTTCCTTCCTTCCCTCTGAAAGCTCTTCCTTGCAGAGGGTTCTAACTAGATCAAGATATTCGTGTTTTGTGGTTTGTGTCCTCCCCCTCTGCACAGGCTCTTGCACCAAGACAACATGAGTCATCAGTAGACTGGCTTTGCTGAAAGAGGCACTGATGTTAGTGGTCAGAGGGAAGGTTGTGGTAGAATCTTATTATCATGTACTTAAGCTCTGCACCCTGTTCTACCACAAAAAAAAAACTAAAAAAGAAAGAAATAGAAAGTATCTCCTTTCTATGCCTTTGGATTCGGTACAGAGCTAATCTCTCTGCAGAAAAGTCTGCAGTAATTTTCCTTCACTGACTTATTTTCCTGAAATCTTGAGTATGGGAGGGGATTGAGTGGAGGTATTGCTATTTATTATTCATACCTTTAAACTTTTAATGTTTTTGTTATTTATATCTAGGTAACAGTGTGTTAGGTACCGTATTTCAAAGAGCTCAAAGATCATAAAAACAGAATTGGAGAGAAAGAGGTGTAGTTCCAACCCCCTTGCCATGGGCAGAGATACCTTCTGCTAGCTCAGGTTGCTGAATGCCCATCCACTCTGGCCCTGAGCAGGGATGGGACATCCCCAGCTTCGCTGGGCAACCTGTGCCAGTGCCTTGCCATGCTCACAGTAAAAACTTCTTCCTGATATCTAATCCAAACCTATTTTCTTTCAGTTTGAACCCATTTCCCCCTATCTGTACATGCTCATGTCAAAAGTCCCTCTCCAGCTTTCTTGTAGCCCTCTTTAGGTTCCAGAAGGCTGCTCTAAGGTCTCCCTGGAGCCTTCCCTTCTGCAGGCTGAACAATCCCAATCCTCTCAGCCTGTTTTTTTAGGAGAGGTGCTCCAGCCCCTCTGATCATCTTTGTGGTCTCCTCTGCACTCACTCCAGCAGGTCCACATCCTTCCTGTGCTGGGACCCCAGAGCTGGATGCAGCACTGCAGGAGGGGTCCCGTGAGAGCAGAGTAGCAGGGCAGAATCACCTCCCATAACCTGCACCTTGGGATGCAGCCAGGACACATTTGGCTCTCTGGGCTGTGAGCACAAATTGCTGGATCACGTCAAGCTTTTCATCAAACAACATCCTCAAGCTGTTTTCCTCAGGGCTGCTCTCAACCCATTCTCCATGCAGCCTGTGTCTGTCTGTGCTTGGGACTGCCCTGACCCACTTGCAGCACCTTGTGCTTGACCTTTTTGAAATTCACAGGGCTCACACAGGTCCACCTCTCAACCTGTCCAGGTCCTCTGCATGGCATCCCTGCCCTCCAGCATGTGGACCACACCACACAGCCTGGGAGTGCCTCAGTCCCACTGTCCCTGTCACCAACAAGGATGTTGAACAGCGCTGGTCCCAGTACTGACACACGAGGAGCTCCTTTGGTCACTGCTCTGCGCTTGACCACAACTCTATGAGTGCAACCAGCCAATTTCTTATCCATGGAGTTGCCCACCCATCAAACCCATGTCTCTCCAGTTTAGAGACAAGGATGTTGTGTGTCAAATGCTTTGCACAATTTCCTGCACACGTCAGTTGCTTCCAAAGATCTTAAGTGATAGTACACACAGGGGAAATGGAAGGGCACAATGGGTTATAGCCTGCCACAAAATCTGAGGGAAGTGCAATCAAGGTGAGCATTACAAAAGCATTTCCAGCTTTGCATGAATTTTTCTGTTATTTGTCATTGTCACCCCTAAACAAGCAGAAATACCCGAATGTGTTAGTTCTAATGTTGCAATTTTTTTTTTCCCCCAGACCACAGACTTGCATGACAAGTTTAGGTCAAAATTAGTTGTAAGGAATGAAGCTATAAATGCCTTTCCAAAAAGAAATTTGTAAATAGAAGTGCAGTAATTGTATATCTTTTTGTAGGCCAACTGCCAGAATGAGCACTCTTTGTAAAAAGTAACATTCCTTCCCTGTTCAAATATCCTTATTTGGCCCGGAGTGATAGAATGAGGAAAACACCTTCCAGTTTTTGTGCTTTTGAATTTTGTCCTGAAGGAATGGCACAGTAGAAGCTTAGAGAACTTACAGAGAAATCAGGTGCCTCTGTGTTAAACCACAAAACAGTGAATGAGCTTGCCCCATATTTGTAAGGTCTGTCATAGTATCAGTTGTATCTTTTTATCATGTATATCTACATA